CGTATATTATATTATTATGTTGGTACATGTCAATTCTAATATGAGTTTTATTTTATAGAGACAAATTTATTATCACTTGAAAAATAAAAAAATAGGGATAATAAAAAAAATCTCAAACTTGTGAAGTCTGTATCCATCCTGACTTTATAGAGCTATATCTAATAGAAATTGACAAGATACCACAATTTTTTTGTTACTATTTATAAATCAAATTTATGTGAATTTTATTTTCCTCTATCATGTTATATTTACTAAAATGCTCTTCTTAATTATATAATTATTTTTATATTTTTTTAATTATATATTTTCTTGACAAAAAAATTAATTTTATAAATTTTAAATTTTAGTTTTTATATGTCACATCCCACATTTGGTGTCAAATTTTTCTTGATATATTTAAAGACTAACTATTAGTATTTGAAATTTTAAAGCTTGTTATATGAAATTTCTAAACTTGCAATGAATCAGATTTATAAATTGGAGGTATATATAATAAACTAAATTTTCAATTAATAAATCAAATCAAATTTATATCAATCAACCCATTATATATATATTAAAATTGGGGATCTATGAAAAGTATAATCTAGATTACACTACAAGTATTTGACTTGATGTGAGCACATTTATGCCAGCAAAGGAAGTTGAACTGGAGGTCTTACCAACATGACCTATCACACGTTCTAAGGCAAAGCATTTCAGGGAAGTTCTTTCTCTTAAGTGTTTACAAATTTCTGAATCATTCTATAATGTTTATGCCTTAGAAACTAAGCTTTTTAATATGTTACATATTGATGTGTAGCACCACCTTAGTTATACTAAGTAATTATATGCAATAACATTAGTTTCATTAGATATATAAGTGTGTGCATTATATATATTACTTATTTTATGTTTTTAATAAGTTTTATAGCTCATAAGTGTGTTTGCATGGTATTTTCACCTTATTAGTAAGTTTACAATAAGTTTACTCTACTTTGATGGATGTTACTATGGTTTTCATAAAAGAACAATAAAGTGCAACAACTTAAGGTCTTAATCCTAGCTCGGTTGAAGCTCAAAGGAGTGTATGCATCTCATTTCAGCTCAAATCAACTCACTACACTCTCAGCTAGCTGAATTCAGCTCACCTTAGCTCCGTTCAGCTCCACTAGCTCAATTCAAGCTAACAAGTCCAGAAACAGCTCAAAGGTGTCCTACTTGTGGGAGAGTGTCCTACAAGCATGTGAGCAGTATGTGGGGCGTTGTATACCTATACAAGAGTGCATGGCATGTGTGACATTGTGCACATGTGTGAAAATTCAACAATGGCAGATTTGAATTCAAACTAAAAGCACATGTGTAATTATTTGAATTATCAACCATTCCCTCCATGCATGGCCAGTTTTTAACCTCCTTATCCACCCATTTAACACGTGCAAAATGTGTTAAAATCATTCAAAATCAGCCACACAAATGGGCGACAACACAAGGAAGTTACATGGTGGTTTTTCATTTGAGTTTTAAATTCAAAATCTGATTGTTTTGTAGCCACAAGTGATGGCCAGCCATATCTCTCCTTTATCTATATATTTTGTTATTTTGTAAGTACAAAGGTTAGACATTTGATGAATAAAAATTATTGTGAGGTTTTCTTTCAATGTTGGTTCTTCTTAGAACTATTTTCTTGACCTTTCAAGTCTGATCTTGTTGTGTCAAACTTGTGATACTTTGGGTTCTTAGATTGCTATCTAACGGGTCCAAGTCCTTTGAACATTGAACTTATAAGGTTCAGGTTTATACTTTTTAGTATAGGTTCTTCCTTGTTCTTTGTTTGTTAACCAAATTTCCAGATTTGTTATTTCACCATTGTCATCTTCACCAAACATTCATCTTTCACCTTTCAACATAGGTATTCTAAGATGATTTAGGAACATGTGGTTCAAATTTGATAAAAAAAAGACTTAAAATGAAGGAGGAATTGAAAGAATAAGGAAATCGGGGACTAAATAACAAAACTGTCAAAATAGTCAATCAAATTTTAGGTTTTTCTAGTAATTCAAAATTTGAAAATTCTAGCTCGACTCGAACTCAAAAACCGAATCGATAATTCGGAGTTGACTCGAATAACTCGAAATTGAAAAAAAAATAATTTTTCGAGTTGAGTCGAGTCTGACTCACCCCTACCTGCAAACTAGCAACCCAAATCATAAATAAATACAACAAATCGAAAAAAAATAAATAGAAAAAAAAGAGAGAAGATGCCGACGAGTTCAAGTAGTCATTCCCAAAGATGGAGTCTTTTCCAAGGAGATCCCAACGATGAGGAATACGGGGGGAGGCGAGGAACAACATGCTACAAAACTGACTCTATCAAACGGTCAACGACAGCAGTTGGAGAGTTTTGAGATGTGAGAAAACCTATATCTACAAAAGATGGTGACGATTTAATGAAAACAGACTCCGTATTTATGATCAAGAGGCCAAGTTAGTTCCGATAATATATTTTGGGACTCGAACGACGATTGAGGACGGTAGCTGATGCGGTGATCATCGGTGATAGGTGACCGACCGATGATCCATTGCAAAGAACCTGACAAATGTATTCTGTTTTAGAGAAGAAAATATGAAATGGAAAAGGAAAAGCAATTAAATGACTTCTATAAAATATGGTAAACTACCTAGTTTTGAGTGGTAGAATAAAAGAAAGGAAAAACCAGCAAGTCAGTCCTCCAGGATTTTAAGAACTTAATCTTGTTCTCTAGTTTCCATGTAGTTATGTTCATGGCTTAATAGTTCCAATATGATTAATTTAGCCCCTAACCTTGTGACATATACAAAGGGAAAAAAATGTCTCGAGAGTACATTTTGCTTTACCTTTCTTATGAGGCTAATCAGGAAGCAATGACGTTCAATATGATTTTTTATAGGTAAGAGCTATTAGCTACCGATTTGCGCCAGATATAGGTCGTTGGCAAGCTGAGGCTTTAGTTGCAATTCAAGAGGTTTGGTAACTTATCCTACCTTTTATAAAGAAAATGATAAGCCTTCAAATATAAATAGGCATGTAGACTCGCACATCACGTACACACAAATGTGCAAGATATTTTTTTTGCATCTGATTCCAGATGTGGTGGGTCTGTTATATGTCATGCTCCCCAGTCTCCATATTGTCATGCTGCCATAGGTTAGATTGCCAACATTAACAAAGATATTTATGTATCCAAAAAGTAGAGTTGAATTTGAGTATAGTACGAGTATGCTAATTTCCATTTGGTAATTTAACTGTATGATTGTGATGAACTCTAGTTTGGTTGCCATTTAACAAGGCAATTAGTGGCATCAATGCTTTTGCTACTTTCTATTTCAAAAAGTATGACTTTTTATGCATTTCTAGGCAACCATGGTAAGATCTTGCACTTCACACCCAGAATCAAGATTCTTATGTTGTATGGTACGAAAGCGTAGGTATTCTAAAAAAAAACATCAGATTTAGGTATTCTCAAAATAGGAATTTAATCGTTCTTTTGTATGTGGAATAGCATTAGAAAGTAGGCTGATTGTTGACCTTAATTACTTCCTGGTGTAAGAGGCCACACATTTATGTTATTCGAATTCTAATGTGTCGGATATGGTATGTGTTCAAATCTACTACTTATGTTGTAATTGGAATACTTAAACTACTCATAAATCCGAGGTAATTGTGTTTAAACGCATTTTAATCTACATCTTATGTTATAATTGCAACGATGTTGATTGAACTATAGAAGGTAAAAGGAGAACAAGGATATTTGGAAAGGGGGATTTCTAGTTCCTAGATGCTTGCATTGCTTGATTAATGAACATATTTGCCACCTCAGAGAGTGCCTTAGTAGAAGACCCATTTTCACTAAGTACCTTAGCAGCTGCTTCTTTAAGTTCCTTCATTCTAGTTCTAATACATTTCCCTTATTCATCTTCAATTAAACCCTTAACAGCCTTTGCAATCTCGTCCCTGCAAATCAAGCCATTTTCCCTAGGTTTCAGTCTCAATGCGACTTTGGCATCCTCGGTTAACATCAAAGCATTCATCTTTTGTTCGGCGTAAAGCGGCCATACGATTAGCTGGATGCCGTTAACGACACTTTCAAGAGTCGAATTCCAACTGCAATGCGTCAAGAACCCACCGGTGGAACCATGGCTCAGAACTTGAGCCTGTGGTGCCCATGATGACACCACTAGAACCTTATATTTAGTCCTCTCAATCGTTTCGTGACTCATTGCTGAAATATGTGGCGTTGGCAACACTGTCATTTTGGTCTCTCCTAAAAACTCACAAGAAACGTTGCCCACTCATTTCCAATCCCATATCCAAATGGTTCATTGAAATGGTCCCCCCACTACCAAATGATACGTACAAATCCGAACAGATCTCTAGAATACATCCAGATGTAAGAAGCAACACGTTTGTTTTAATTTTCATGTACTTGATGGATTTTAATTAGGGATGTAAATGAATCGAATATTCAGCAAATTGTTCGTGAATTGTTCGACAAGAAGTTCATGTATGTACGTTTATTTATTAAACGAACGAACATGAACAAGATTTTTTGTTTGTTCAATTGTTCGGTTAAAGTAATAAACATGAGCATACCCTTGTTTGTGTTGGTTCGATTCATTTACAGGTTTAATTTTAATAGGCTCTACTATGCATTTATGTTATTCTAATGTGTCAAATATGGATGGAATGTGATTAAATTTATAACTTATGTTATAATTGTAATACTTAAATGACTCATAAATCGGAGGTAATTGTGTTTATACGCATTCATATCTACAACATATGTTGTAACTGAAACGGTATTGATTGAATTAATACTCAATCGATATTCTTGTTTTTTATCACATCTGTAAAATAAAAATGAAATATACAAGGTAAAGGGAGAATTATTTTTTAGATTAATTGAAGATAACATCATCAAGTACACTTGCGAAAATACAATTCGAATATTCAAATTCAAACTAAACTGGAGAAATACAATTCAAATCCCATTTGGCCAAACTACGAGGGGGATTTCTAGTTCCTAGATGCTTGGAGTGCTTGATTAATGAACTTATTAGCCACATGAGAGAGTGCCTTAGTGGAAGACCCATTTTCACTAAGTACCTTGGCAGCTGCTTCTTTAAGTTCCTTCATTCTGGTTCTTACACTTTTCCCTTCTTCACCTTCCATTAAACCTTTAACAACCTTTGCAATCTCGTCCCTGCAAATCAAGCCATTTTCGTTAGGTTTCGGTCTCAATGCGACTTTCGCATCCTCAGTTAACATCAAAGCGTTCATCTTTTGCTCGGCGTAAAGCGGCCATACGATTAGCGGCACCCCGTTAACCACACTTTCGAGTGTCGAATTCCACCCGCAATGGGTCAAGAACCCACCGGTGGAACCATGGCTCAGCACTTGAGCCTGTGGTGCCCATGATGGCACCAATAGACCCCTATCTTTGGTCCTCTCAATGAATCCTTTTGGAAGGAACTCAAAAGGGTCATTTTGCGACTCATTGCTGAAAAATGTGGCATGGGCAACACTGTCATTAGGGCTCCTAATAACCCACAAGAAACGTTGCCCGCTCATTTCCAATCCCATAGCCAACTCATTTAATTGGTTCATTGAAATGGTCCCCCCACTACCAAATGATACATATAAAACCGAACCGATCTCTTGAACATCGAGCCATTTCATACAACCGGAGCCGTCCAGTTCACGGCTCGAATCGGCATTAACGAGTGGACCGACGGGGTAAATCGGTGGCTTAATCTCTTGCAAGGCCTTTATTGGTCCTCCTTCCAAGTCCATGAAGCTGTTCACCATGATCCCTTGAGCCAACCTATACCGCTTTGCATGATGAAGCATCCACTTGTATGAGTCGTTTTGCCGGTCTTGTATCGGGTCGGGCAATTCCTTCCCGTGAACCGCTATGCACCCTGGTATTCTAACCGGTTCAGACATGTCCCTGTAGTCGCATGAAACCAAATGGTCGAGCTCCAGCAAGTAAAGAAACAGAGACAACACCGTCACCGTCGACGGGAAAAATATGTAGGGCGAGAGACCGAATTCATTAGCGACATCGAACGCGTCGGTCCCGAACAGATCAACAACCAAACCGACGAGGTTCGTCTTCGCCACCAACGACTTGAAAGCGTCACGGAGGTAAGGAAGTGAACGGGACACCGTTAAAGAAATCACCGTTTCGATCTTCGAATCACCAGGGAGATCGGTCAAGTTAACGGGAGGGAGGAAAACGAAATCAATGGAGCTTGGAAGGGAATCAAGAGTTGATTTTTGAGCTTTAGAAGGGGAGCCATCGGTGGGGATAACGAAGGTGACGTTGATGTTGTGTTGGTGAACGAGTCGCTTGGCGAACTCAACGAGTGGAATGAGGTGACCCATCCCTGGACTCGGCAGAATTGCTACATGGGGTGTTTGTGCCTTCGCCATTGTTTTTCTGCTTGAGTTTTTGGTATATAAGACAAGGAAGAAGAAAGCTGATATTTATACACATTGTAATATCAGCTTCTTTGTCTTGCACATAAATTTCCTTTTTTTCTCTTTTAAAATTAGTTTCAGTATTCACATTTTGTTAATCTATAGAGCAGAAAAACAAAAACAAAATATAATTTTACAGTTTGAAATTTTTTAGTTAATATTTTAACTTATACTGGTTGTCCTTAATTTATAGTTTGAATATTAAATTAGTCTCCAATCTTTAAATAAATAAATTAACTTAAAATTAATATTATTTAACTAAGTAAATATAAAATTATTTTTTAAAATCAAATATAATAATAAAAGAATTTCCAACCTCAAAAAATATATAAAATGAATATATATATATTGACATAATTTTAATCGAAGTAAACATGTAATTTTGTTACAGACTCTATAACATATTTAAGTTAAATTACATATTTATGTCGATTAAGATTGTATCAATTAACTAATACGTTTGTTTTTTTTAATTTTATATAATTTTTAATTAAGGTTTGAAATTCTTCTACTATTATATTTAAATTTATAAAATAATTTATATATCTAATTACTTAAATAATATTATTTGCATCATTTATTTATTTATTTTATATTAATTTATATATTTAATGATTCAAGACTAATTTAAAGTTTAAACTATAATTGATAATTTAAAAAATAAACTACAATTTAAGGATGTCAAGTATAAGTTAAAATATTAATTAAAAAAATTAAACTGTAAAAATATATTTTCTTATATTTCTGTTCTATAAATTGAAAAATGTGAATTTATTGATTTTTATTTCCGTTACCTATTAATTACTTTTAATTCTGTTATTTTAATTTCAAATTATCAAAATGAATTTTAAAATAAATATAAAGCAACTGAAAACTTAAAAAGGACACGTGGTGCAATTTTTATAATGGAGGCACAAATAGGGGTAGGGATTGGGAGCAGAGGATTTGTGTTCTTAAATTATATCTTAAATTAATTTTAGATTTTAGATACTTAATTTTATGTTAAAAGTATATATATAAGTTTTTTTCCTTTATACTTTTAAGTACATACATTATAACGATTCTTTAAAAAAATCGTTACATAACATATATCACATATATTTGTTTTAAATATTTGTTTAAAAATATTTAAAAGAAGTCATTTTCTTCCCTCTCATCCTACAATTCCCCCTACCCCACACATGTTGCCTATATTTTTATTTTAAATATATATATATATATTTTAATTTTTTTAAAAAAATATATAAACATGGCATGTGTCGTTTAATAAATTTTTTAACAACATTTATTGTAACATCCCTGACCCGTTCCCAATCCGGATACGAATATGAGATGTCACATTGACTTTTTAAACACTTTGACTCTTTTAAAATGTGACTAAAACTTGACAATGAAAGAAAAACTTAATAAAACATAGTTAAAATACATATAAGAACATCTACACTTTAAACATTTATGGTACATGCCAACAAAGATACTAATAACAAAATCACATACGATTTAAATTTCTCTGATCTGATACTCTTCAAAGATATGTTGTCATGTCCTTGCTTACTCTGCTACTCCTCTGAATCTACATGTGAAAACACTCACACACTAAGTCGTTGACTTAGTGAGGCATAATGAGTATAATAACACAATAAAATCTTTATTTAAACATTTCAGAGAAAATACTTATTACGAAATTCGATTTAAGTTTCATATAAATAAAATAGACTTTTAGGTACTGTTCAATACAAAATCAATGTAATTCAATACAAAATCAATTTACATTTCATAAAAACGACATATATAATTATACACTTTTAAATCCATATCAATTTAATCAGTCCAACACATATCACTGAGAGCTCAATATATGTGAGTAAATTGAGGTTGTGCACTATAATTGCAGTCACCATTACTCATAAAATTTGCACCGAAGTGCCACATGGATTTGTCCTGAAGGACCGCGTAGAATTTGTCCTGAAGGACCACGTAGAATTGTCCCAAAGGACCGCGTACGTAGAACTCTCGACTCTTGGCATGCCAACTATACCTCTAATTCTCATAACATATACTTTGGGCTTTAAAATATAATTATTTCACATGAAATTCAAGGTATTGTTTATTCACATAGAACATATTCACTTAGCACATAGTCACATAGACATTTTCATGTAGAATGTTTTCACATATAACATATTCACCTTTAAGATATACTCATATTATTTCACATAGCATTACTCACTTATCATTTATTCACATAAAACAAAAAACTCGTAAATCATATACTTATAGTATTTCATGTAGAATATATATTCATAGAAATGAAACCACAACAGTGCTTTTAAAAATACAATTTAGCTAAAACCAGAACATATTGCAAATCATTTTGTTCAAAACATTTTATTCAAAAGCATTTGAGGTTGGCTCATCACAAGCCATCCTCCAATCATGTATAAAATAAGTAAGTAGCATTCAACTTTGCCTCACTTAAGCCCTAAGTACTTCCTTTTCACTTTCACTCTATCTTTATCCATCACTTCATTTAGCACTTCCTTTCAATCGAATCTACACGTTAAAATGACAACGATGAATATCGAAGCTCAAATAATTGTTAACCAAATCAGCATTTGCATAACCAAATAAAACATCTAATTCAAAATTTCAGACTAAATAGTATTGGTACTTTACACCCAGTACCGATACTTTCCTTATATGGTATCGATACCTACCTTAGTATCGATACCCAATTTGCATTCTGTAATTTCCCTTTTCATTATAGTATCAATACCTCTGTTCTAGGGTATCAATACCTACTTCAATATTGATACCATTCTAGCATTATGAAATTTCATCTTCAATAACAATATCGATATCTTACTCTTGGCATCGATACCTCCACATCAGTATTGATACTACTTCAATCAACATCGATATTGTTCATCCGATTCATACCATTTCCTTCAAATTAACCTTATAGTATCGGTATTGTTCTTCTAGTACCGATAACCTTACCCAGGTTTCCATTATTTCATTTCGAATTTTACCCAAAACTCACTTATATCTCATACCTTTAACTCCACTCGAACCCTTAAATTCATTTACACTTATTCTAACTAACTTACATCCATTAAAACCCCTTTAACATTTAAAATTCTCCATAAAACTCTTTAAACTAAAAATCACAATTATTCTTCAAACATGTTTCCAATCCTTTCTAATAACTCTAACCCCTTAATTAAACCATTGACAAGTCAAATATATCTTTAAAAATCCAAATACAATCAATTTCAATCAATTCTCTTAAAATCCCATTTTACTAATTCACCATTAATTCATAAATCTTTTAGCTTCTATTCATTTTAAAGCTTCCTTAAGCTTTTATACCACAAAAAAGAATCACAACTAAATCAAAATTTCAAGATACAATCAACTTTAAAATATCTCACCTTATCTATGGAGCTTCACGGTGGAAAGGAAGAAGAGAAGAGCAAGCTTCCAGACTTTTCTTTTTCCTTTCTTTTATTTCCTCACATGATTAAATATCTTTTAAAATGAATTTTAAATTCATTTCCTGTTAAAAGACCATTATGCTCTTTCATTCTTTAATCTTTGATAATAAGTCTTATACAACAATTTCCAAATCAATCTTTGAACTTTTTAATTTATCAAAATCAAATTATTAAATTTTAAATCCTTACATATTAGTCAATGATCCGAAGTTTGGGGTATTACAATTCTCCCCCTTAAGAATATTTTTCCTCGAATTTTCACTGCACAAAGAGATGTGGAAATTGTCTTCTCATGTCCTCTTCACGTTCTCATGTCATTCCTTCTACTTTGTAATTTTTTCAATGAACTTGAACTATCTGAATCATCTTATTCCTTATCTTTGTTAGGCTTCATATGCTAAAATATGCACTGATTCTTCCTCATAGGTCAAGTCAGATTGAACTTCTATCTCTTCAGATGTTATGATTTGAGAAGAACCTGATCTATATCTTCTGAGTATCAAATCATGGAAACATTATGAGTCTTGAACGAATTTTCACTTTCTCTTTGACTTTCTTGATTAAATCTATCCCCAATATGTCTCGATCTTTCAATTCAAACCAACATAATGGTGTCCGACACTTTCTTCCATATAAAACTTCATATGAAGCTATCTTGATACATTTCTTAAACTTGTTGACATAACAATCATCTAAAAACAAACTCAATGATAACTCTTTCCATGCCTAATTCTAAGCTCTTTCCATGGCACTGTAAACATTCATCAGACTTTAAGTCTTTAGTTTCTTCCTTTCCTACTTATTCCATAATTGACTAACACAAAACTTTTCATATTTTCTCTTGAGATCTTTTATTCTATTTAGTAACAAAGGCTTCAAATTTTATTATACAAGCAAAACGCCATCTTTATTTAAAGACAATCACATATTCCACACTCTCAAAGTATAAATGTCTTTCAACTTTTTCATATCATTCACCACATTAACCTTTCAAGTTTGTAGTTGATAAGCACGTCATCAGACTACAAGAAATTCAATCCAAATAAGTAACATATCTATTCCCAAAACATGGTCAAAGAAAGAATACTCATCAGAAAAATTATTTAAGAACCTTTAATAATAACCAACAAATTAAAAGAACTTTGAAATTCAAAAATATTCTTTGGAATAAGTAACACCCTCAACCCGTAGTTGATCCGGATACGAATATGAGGTGTCACATTTTTTGGGATTTTCAGAAGCTCGAATTGACAACCGGGACAGTTTGCAATGAGGGGTCGGAATGATTTTGTGTTTAGGGAGTAAGGAGATTGAAAGATACAAAATTGCACACCGATTTATAGTGGTTCGACTTTCTCAACCAAAGTCTACGTCCACAACCTTAGCTGCTCACCAAGGATTTTCCAACAAATTCACTAATTTGTTCTTTATTTTGAGGACAAAGAGATAACCTTACAACTCCCTAGTTTTTCCGGGCTAAACTAGAACCTTTCCCTAGCTTTTACACGGGATAAGCTAGAACCTTTC